GAGCGGCCCAGGCAGCCAGAGGCTTGGGTGCAATCTCCCCGGGTACGGCACGCTTTTTCCCTCCGCGGCCCCAGCACGCACCGCCAGTCGGATCTCAGGAAGACTTTAGCTAGAACCTGATGATGTTCATTCTTGCCATCTACTGTTTGAGCACTTTGAATTTACCTTTATACATGAACCAAACATTCCAGGTTCCCATGCAATAAATATTGGTCTTATGGCGTCGGACTTTATTTCCATCACCAGTCACAGTGACAACTGGGAGTTGTTTTCACTTTGGCTCCATCTCTTCATTCTTCCTGGAGTTATTTTTTCATTCTTTTCCAGTAGCATGTTGCATATACCTACCTACCTCCTTAGGGGAGTTCATCTTTCAGTGGTGTATCTTTTTGCCTTTTCATACTGTTCATGGGATTCTCAAGGCAAGAATACCTAAGTGGTTTGCCGTTCCCTTCTCTAGCAGCCTAGTATGGTGAATAGAGTACAGGTTGGATTTCAGACCCTGCTTGTCCCTTCAGTTAGGTATCTTTTTTTAGAATATGGTTGCCCTGTAATCGTGTGTTATAGTGGGTTTGTTTTTTGTTTTTTTTTTTTGTTTGTTTGTTTCTTTTTTTTTGCCTGATCACAGTGGCAGCCTTATATTGTTTCAGATTTGTTTTTTACGTTAATTCAGATTATGTTAGAATTTGGTTCATATTTATCTACCTGCATATAAAATCACATTTTTGGTTTTGGTTTTATATCACAATTAGTGTTTACTTCTTTCAAAGTAAAGAACTGATAGTAACTTTCACTTCAGTAAGGTCAACTGCATGCTCTGAAAGGCCTTTGTTTTGAACTGCATTCAAATCCTGCCTTGTTTGGCTTGATACAAGTTCGGGAAAAATCTGCGGTTCTTTCTCCTCCAGTCTTCTACCCTTCATGTCTCTGTTCCACCTTCTCTGATTATCCCCTTTCAAAAGATTTACTTTAAACAGAATGAACTGGTGGGTAGCAAATAATCAATGGTGAAATTGGGGACAAAACCTTAGGCTAGTAACAAAGTCAGTGTACTGAACTTGGGATTCTTACATTAAGTTGGAACCTTGAGTAGTGATATAGTACTCTGAAACTGGTAGATCCCCTTGGCTTCCAGCTGAAAAGTAAATTAAAAATTTCTCTAAAGAATAGCATACTTTAGGGCCTTGAGAATACTGCAGATTAAGAACAAAGAACTGTTCATGATTTTAAAAGCAATGAGCAGACAAATAAGAAAACAAGGTACCTTGACTGATTACTAACAAAAACAATGAATTGTTTATTTGATTTAGATCTCCTCAAGGAGTTAGGGCTTCCCTGGTGACTCAGAAATTTAAAAATCCACCTGCAATGTGGGAGACCCGAGTTTGATCCCTGGATTGGGAAGATCCCCTGGAGAAGGGAACAGCTAACTACCTACTCCAGTATAATAAGACACATTTCATGGTTTTAAAAAAAAAATTGGCCAAGGAGAACAAAGCTAGGGGCATCATGCTTCTTGCTCCTGAGCTGTATTATAAAGCTATAGTGATAAAGCACTATAGCATTAGCATAGAAACAGGTCCATAGATCAATGAAACAATATATAAAGCCCAGAAATAAATGCGTATTCACATGGTCGTTTAATTTATGATGTCAGGCTAAGAATATACAGTGGGGAAAGGACAGTCTCTTCAATAGTGGTGTTGGCAAAGTTGTATAGTCACATGCAAAAGGCTGAAACTGGACCTGTATCTTTCACAATACACAAAAAGTAACTCAAAATAAATTAAAGACTTGAACATAAGACCTGAAGCCATAAAACACCTAGAGTAAAACAGAGGTAATAAGTTCCTTGAATAAGCCAATTCCTTGGCTTTGAATTTTTGGGTTGACACCAAAAGAAAAGGCAACAAAAGCAA